CAGCACTTTACTGCTTTCTAGATATCATGAGAAGCAGGAAATAAAGAGCGCGCGCTCGAAGTCGTTGTTTAAAGTCATGTAGCAGACACTAATTTTTTTATGTTATATGTGTTTGTTTAAAATCCTACCTTTGAAGTAGGTATTCCGCACACGTGTTTACATTTGTCCTCGCAGCTATTCCCTCATCCCTTATTGAAGTCCTCAAAAGGAGGCGAGAGGAAAGGGTTAGCAATCAACCCCCATACATTTCGTCTGTGTCATCCTTAGTTCGTGATGCACCACGATGCTTCGGAGTTGTGCCTACTCTTGTTATCGAGTCGTCAAGTGGAAAAGGGTTTTGCAATCAAATCCTCACACTTTATCTTAAGCTCACGTTGGTCGACATTGACACCTCGTGTTTATCACTTTCCCCTTACTCTTCTTGCCTGGTAATATAATACCATGGTATAGACGTTTTGTTCCCATAAATAGCTTATTTGCCTCGGTTGATATGACTCATTGGCTAAAGCTTCCCATATCCTACCCCGCTTGTTTGTCTCGGTTGATATGACCCCTTGGCTAAAGCCTCCCCTATCCTACCTCGATGATTCGATATCTTGGTTAGGAATTTTGACTTGAGTTAACATGCGCTACTCATGACATGTGTATGCTCTCTTGAGCTTGTGGATTACTTGCTTTCCATCCTTGTGTACATGTTTTCTTAGGTTGTGAACCTTTGGTATATTCCCTTAGGAGCTCTTGATTCACCCTTTGGTGGTGATTCGAGATAGATGTGGGTTTAGGTTGTGAACCTTTGCTATGTTCCCTTAGGAGTTCTTGATTCATCCTTTGGTAGTGATTCGAGATGGACATTAGGATTGTGATCCATGCATGCTAACATAGGGTAGATATTTCTCTTTCAAAACTCAACCTTAGGATCAATCATTGTATGATAACATTAGCGATTAGATTCTAGCTAGTTTCTCTTAGATGTTTTTCTTTCTTTTGCATCCTTACATTAAGACTAAAACTCTTTTCTTGGAAATGTATAAAACATCTAATAACTTTCAAATTCTTTTTCAAGTTAAGAAACATCAACCAATGCAAACTCTTCTCTCCTTCGGGCCTTTCTTTCAAACTTTAAAAGGATGTGTTAATTCTACTCTATGCAACATGATGCGTAAATCCCCAAAGGTCGGGTGGCACTATGTCTAAATTTCTAGAGCACGAATGTAGCATTATCCGCCTTCGGGCATTTTTCTTTGCAAATACCTTGTTAGGTAGAAAATGTTAATTCACTTCTGTGCTGACACGTGAGTCTCCAAAGGTCAAGTTGTGGCAAAAGGCAAAATTAATATTGTTCATTAAAAAACACAAAACAAATCAAAACATGTGAGTCGAACTACGTCACTCTGATTCCTTAAAAGGGATACGTAAGCATCTAGTCGCGGGGCTCAGCCAAGTGAAACTTTGTAAATACTTCCTTCTTTTCCACGTGTTTTCTTTTGCATACATTCCCTCTTTGCATTTTTCTTTTAGCTCGTAAGTTTAGATTTGAACACACCCTTTGATTAGAATAACAAGAGTGGATACCGTAGAATACTACGACCGTGTGGGGTGCTAATACCTTCCCCTCGCGTAACAGACTGCCTTACCATATCTCTTGATAGTTCGACCTTGATTTCACCCTTATCGGGTTTACTCGATGTTTACCTTTCCTTTTCTGTGGGATAGAAAATGTTCGATGGCGACTCCATTGATTTCATCCCGATGATTTGATCAGCCAGTTGTTTCACAATGGATAGGGAACTTAGAGATCCTCCCGATCTCTTCGTTCCCCTCTTCGTCATAACAAAACTCCTTGGCCTCATCTACAAGAGACACTGGGTCGAACACCGCATCCACGACATCTTGGGATTAAGTTTTCACAACATATCACTTATCTTTAAACTCACGGACAGAGTCCATATACATCCGGAACAGCCTCTTGGATTGCTTGAAAGAAACCCAACTATGTTTTCCTCCTTTAGACTGCCGTTAAAGATGGAAAACCCTGAAGAACAAAGGAATCGTCGCCCTAATCCTCAAGTATCAGCAAGTAATATCGAAAGCCCGTATAAAAGCAATCGCGTTGGGGTGCAGTTGGGAGGGCGCCAAGGACAAATGATTGAAGACGCCTATTTGAAAGCCACTGAAGGGAAGACGAAGTCGTAGATACTTGAAGATAATCTCGTACATGGGGAAGCGATCTTCCTGGAAAGACGAGCATTTTCTGACGGTAGGTGTCGGGCGAAAGATCATGAAATTTTGCTTGAAACCCTCTTGGTCGCCGCCATATTCAACAACGGTATATGCCTCCCTCCTTGTATGGCTAAAGACCTATGCTATTCCTCAAGGCTCTGGCCCAACCAAAGACAGTGACGGATTAGTGACGATATCGATCAAGTGGACACCCTCGTCGGTTCCACTCATTTCTTCTATCTCGACCTGCTTGGGTGTCTCGACTGGTTTGGTCATTTCACCTCTAAAGCAGAGGAAACCAGTGAATTCGACAGCTAAATCAAATCCGCCCTTCCACCGTAACACAAGTGAAAGGGGGTTACCACGACCAAACCAGGTCGACGAACCCTCGTTCAGTAAAAGCAAACAAACTCCTGAACCCTATAAGGAGAATACAGATCTCTCGAGCAACCTCATGAAGGTGACGAGGATAAGATGAATCTTCAGAGAAATCCCATGAACATTGCGAGGAGGGGATGAATTCCCCAAGCAATTTCATGAGTTCTGCAGGGAGCAGATGAATTTCACGAGCCACTTCGTAAGTATCATGAAGAGAGGTATGAATATCACGAGTGAAAGTCCCCCGGGTAGTGAAATTCAGCAGGAAATCCATGAAATTTATCAAAAAAATCAACAATAAATGAGAATAATCACTGGGAAACACTTACTTGATTAAGGTTGGTAGAGATTCTACAGCGGAAGTTACGGCGGCGCTTATGGTTGGAGAAGGAAATTGAGGGCGGTAGAAAACGAATGACACTAGGGAGAAAGGAGAGAGCGAGAGTTTGGCAACGTTATAAATGAGCCCTTAGGCGCTATTTATAAGGCTAGTGTGAAAGACGAAGCGTCGCGTCGAATAGTGTATCAATTATTCGTCTCTCCGCCGCCCACACGCTCAGGATCATAATGACCCCTACTCCCTAGGCCATCATTCTATCCCAAAAGTTACACCATGTGGCTTACGAAGTAAAAATCCTGCGAACTTTCGTCTCCCCGCGAGTCGAGGAGCAAATAAACTTTCTCCGTGAGAAAACTCCAATCTCCTCTCAAGTAATCACAACCAAAAGCTACACCACGTGACTTGCAAAGTAAATATCATGCGAACAACCTGTCTCCCTGCGAGTCGAGGAGCAGATAAATTTTCTATGTGAGCACACTTCAATCTCCGCTCGAGTAGTCGCGTATAAAAACGACCCCGTCCTTCGACCTGATAAGGGACCCCAGTGAAACTATGCTCACCATACAGGGAAGTTGGTCTTAAGTCATAATTCATTTCCTCATGAGCAACGACTTGGGAGGCTCCTGTTCTGGACTGGGCCTACACTTGGCCCAAATATCATACGAGGCCTAATCCAACTATGCTGCAGGAGAAAACCAGCAGGAGAGAGTATGCTCTTGAGAATGTCGGGCAGTGATTTCACTCCTCTCGTTGACCAGGATATGTCCTCCGGAGACAACCTCATGACTAGCGAGGAAGACCAACGACACTCATGAGGTCCTCACGAGCACCCTCCTCGAAGGGTAGGCACCAAACTCCCCCGAATATCACTGAGTCATTTTGACCTCGAAAGGACCGTATTCACGTCCTCTTGATAATTCGGAGGAGTCCATTCAGGTTGGGGACCAGATGTTGGCCTCCACTACACACATAGGACCTGACAGTCTCTATTTTAGGCCTATTTGGTTAGCCCAACAATGGGGACCTTGGCCTAGTGCTGGGGGATATAAATACCTCTCACTTGAGAGGGTCATGTATTCATTCATTCACCTATACTCTCACACTTACTTGCACTTACTCTGAATCTTACTTTAGCATCATAGTGTCTTATAGGTACCCCCACTTCACATTCAACCACTGCTCGACTTGAAGCTCGTGGGCCTTGACAATTCCTTCTGATCAGGTACAATCAGATCCACCAAAAAGGATCAGACCCGTTGAAGCGAGGAATGTCGAGCTTCATCGTGGTAGTCGGAGAGGAAAACCCCGACAGTGGAATGCACACTTGGAGATCCTGAAAGTCGAAAGTAAGGGTGTTTATGTTAGTAGAGACGCTTGCTTGAAAGGATTGTTGGCTTAGGAGTAATTGGTTAAGGGTGGCGGTGATTTCTTCTATGGAAAGAGGTGGAGTCATATTCAATGAAGGCACCAAATTATTATGAATGCATGTGAGATAAAGCTAAATATGCGCTAGATTCTATTTGCTAACACTACTAACTAATTTCATCCAAATTCCTTTCTTTCATTAATGTACAAAAGGTACAATAAATAGTACAAATTTCACTAGAGTCCAAAGCACTTCTTTAAATTTTATGACTTAACATATAATCTTAGAGTCTAGCTAGGATATTCTAATACTTACTACTTCTTACCCCCTTTCTTACCTTTTGTCTCCATCACGTAGTCCTCAAAACATTTGGGCTTATTTGTATTTCTCTTGGCCCTATATCTAGGGACTCACTTGAGTCTTCAATTATTTCCTCAGGCCCTTCATCATCTGGTGGTGTGTTTTTTTGGAAATGAATTTCTGAATTTTAGAAAAATTTAAATTTCAGGACTTATTTGTTAGAGTACTGTTCTTTTATGTATTGGTGGATAAGAAGATAGGTGACCGAAGTGCGTTCTTTTGTCGCGTCGATGTGGTTCCTTTTCAGAAACCAATCATAGTTGACCCATGCACCCCTGCTGACACACTCAGTGACGATCGATGCACATCACATTCATCTACATATAACACCGCGAAATGATACATGCACATATCACAGATTTTACTCATTCATCTTCCAAAATGGCAATTCCTCATGTCCCTCTTGGAACTCAAGGCTTTCAGGTATCTTTTCCTTACATCGACCATTATCTTCTTCTTTCTATAATATACTAGTTAATTATATTGTACTAATTTAGGTTTCAAAACTGGGATTTGGTTGTATGGGACTCAGTGGAGCATACAATGATCCTCTTGCTGAACAAGATGGAATTTCCGTTATTCACTATGCTTTCACTCAAGGTATCACTTTTTTTGACACTGCTGATGTTTATGGAGTCAATGGTTCCAATGAAATTTTGGTTGGAAAGGCTTTAAAGCAATTACCTAGAGAAAAGATTCAGCTAGCTACAAAATTTGGTATATCTAGAGGAGATGCTCCTGGTTTCACCGGTGTCAGCATCAAGGGTTCACCGGAGTACGTGCGCTCGTGCTGTGAAGCTAGCTTGAAACGTCTTGGTGTTGAATATATTGATCTTTATTATCAGCATAGAGTCGATACATCTGTGCCTATTGAGGACACAGTTAATGATTTCTTCCAATGTTGAATACATTATTACATTATTTTACTTATTTCAGTAGATATGCAAATTGTTAACAAGTTTGTTCTGGTATAGGTTGGTGAACTTAAGAAACTGGTGGAAGAGGGAAAAGTGAAGTACATTGGGCTATCTGAAGCCAGCCCAGATACAATAAGGAGAGCACACGCTGTTCATCCCATCACAGCTGTTCAAATAGAGTGGTCTCTCTGGACTCGCGACATTGAGGATGAGATAGTTCCTCTATGCAGGTTAATTTGGGTTCCTAACTTTCATTAATTATGAGTTACTTGAAAAAAAGGGTTAAAGAAAAGGAACCAGTTGCTCTTCCTTGTATTGTGTCTTAGTGTTAAATGAGACTTTACTTGTTTAACGTTTTTGATACAGAGAGCTTGGTATTGGAATTGTACCATATAGTCCTCTTGGTCGTGGTTTTTTCGGTGGCAAAGGAATTCTGGAAAATGTGCCTGCAGTTAGCAACCTGGTATAGCATTTTAGCACTTAAATATAATGTGTGTTTCAGTTGCTTGCCATGGAATTATTAGTAAGATGTGCCAAATTATGTAATAGCATTGATTAAATCTTAATAGTGAATCAAATAGTGGTTGCTTTGTAGTCTTATTTAGTAAACAATCAAATGCTTGGTGTTTTTTAAACTAGAGTGATGATACAGGAGATATCACCCTTATCTGTTTTTCTCACATGAATGATATTTAAATTCTTCTTTGAAAGTAAGGCTATTTCTTTTGTTTAAAGTGTATGTTGTTTTCTGATGATTATTTTGTTTATCAGACTTCTCATCCCCGTTTCCAAGCTGAGAACTTGGACAAGAACAAAAACATATACGATAAGATTGAAAGTCTTGGGAAGAAGCATGGATGCACTCCTGCTCAGTTAGCATTAACATGGGTACTCCAACAAGGCCATGATGTTGTGCCTATTCCTGGTTAGTCACAAAATATGCATACTTTTAGAAAACAGTATATTGCAAAAATCTTTGATACTAGCTACATTGAGATAGTATCCTAAGGAATATGATTGTCAATCCGAACAAATTAATATACAATGCATTTCTATCATTATGTTTGTGCACTGATCAAATAAGTGAAGAACCATATGCACTGTCATCTGAAGCGTATGGTTATTACGGTCGTGCATTTTATATATTAAGAGCATCATTTGATGTAACAAGGTTAACTGTTTATTTTCAGTTTTTTCTAATCTTGAAAATAATGTGGACTTCTTTTATTGACAGGAACAACTAAGATAAAGAATCTGGATCAAAACGTTGGTGCATTATCCGTGAAACTATCAGAAGAGGAGCTGAGAGAAGTTTCTGCAGCGGTTCCTGTGGATGATGTAGCAGGCAGTAGATACTACAATGGATTAGATCACTTTTCTTGGAAGTTTGCTAACACACCTCCAAAAGTTTAAAGGATCTCAACCTGAAATATAAATCCCTTTTAGTATGAGAATGCACTCCATCATGAATTAAGTGCAACAATCATTTCTCTGTATGTACTTGACTCATTTATGACATGCCTGATGAACAAGTCAAGACAGGGTGTTTACATTTGTTCTTTTGTTTTGATTCAATAAATAATAAGGGATTTCAATCAAATTCTAGTAGTATTTCGTTGTTAGATTGAATGTGAATTTGTGAATAAAATGGTAAAATAAACAAACTAATAGAAACAAAAATAGTAAACTCAAGATGAGAATTGTTCAAACCGAAGAATACTTATACTTTTATTCATAAGAATAGGTCCTTTTAAATAGATATATAACAACTACCAGCTTTTCCTAAAAGTAAGTTATCCACTAAACGATTAATACATAACTACCATAATTTCTATAGACCAGGTCTATAGACCAGGTCTATAGCAACTGACATTAATTAATTTAAACAGAAACAATTCTAAAACAAACAAATAAATAAATAAATCTTAACACCCTCCCTTGATATCTGCAGATAATATCAATTTAGAAACAAGCCCAATGCAATAACCAACAACTTCTTTCCTTATTTTGCCTTCATTAACGAACAAACTCCTAGCATACTTCGAAGCTTGACAAATGCAGCAGGCTTTAGGGGCTTGGTCAATATGTCTGCAACCTGATTTTCACTCTTGCAATAAACCAATTTAATTGTTCCATCATTGCTAAGATTTTTTAGAAAATAATATTTCACATCAATGTGTTTACTTCTTCCGTGTAATACAGGATTCTTGGAAAGTTTGATTGCTGAGTTGTTGTCACAAAAAATTATGGTAGTTTCAACTTGCTTTAATATCGTCAACATATAAGCATACAATGAAAAATTTCCCGTTATCTCCAGTTTTAACAAAAAGTGTGTGCTCATATGGACATTTGTGAAAATCCTTTTTCAGAAAATAAGCTTCAATGAGACTATACCAAGCTCGTGGAGCTTGTTTTAATCCATAGAGTGCTTTCTTCAGTTTATAAACTCTATGCTCAAATCCAACCTTTACATAGTCAGGAGGTTGATTGACATATACCTGTTCTTCCAAGTATCCATGCAAAAATGCCGATTTGACATCAAGCTGGAAAATTTGCCAAGATTGTAGTGCCGCTAATGCAACCACTAATTTGATTGTGTCGTGCCTTGCAACTGGAGAGAAAACTTATGTGAAAATATGACACATTCTCACACATAATCATGTCTCTGCATCTTTATCATGTATTTCGATCTATGTTATCCAATTTATGTTATAGTGAGTGTTCTCTCTAATGGTGCTGATGTGACATAAATTTTCTTTTTAATAAGGTGTATCAACGGCAGAATTTAATTGGATTATTAAAGAGCTTGACATAAAAAATAAATAAATTTGTTTAGTTTGTGAAAGAACAGTGGATTCTAAATTTTACTTGGCACCTCATACCTCTTATGTTTTTATATAATATTTTTTCTTTTTGTGATTTATCACGTTTTTAAAAAATTTGTTTTTCGAATTTTTGAAGAATTTTTATCAATTTTTTAAAAAAAATTATCAGATTTGAATTATCAGATTTTTCAAATACATTATCGAATTTTTAAAAAAAAAAATCAATTTTTACTAGATTTTTCAAAAAGTATATGGATTTTTATTGAAATTTTCAAAAAGTATGAGTTTTTATCGGAATTTTTAAAATACATTATCAGATTTTTCAAAAAATTATGAATTTTTATCAGATTTTTCAAAATAGACTTAAACATGTGGAAAGAAAATTCAATGAAAGAAAGGATTACCCTTACCCAATTAGAAAATGTTTCTTTCTTTGATGGCTTTATTACTCATTGCAAAGATGATATTATTTGGGAATTTCTTAGTACACCATATGTGCTTGTAAAACATCATATAAAAATATTTCTTCAGATTTCGGAGATGTATCTTCGGACGCACCTTTATTTGTCAAAACATTATAACTGAAGCACACCAAGTATGTTTTCTAAATTTAATTCGGAGATGCATCTCCAAATTAATTCTATATATACACCATGAATCGCTCTCTAAAAGGCCCCTTTTTGCCATAGATTATTTCAGAGATGCATCTTTGTATCCAGTCTAGATAGTAAGTTTTAAGTTTGTTTTAGTGATGCTCAGATGAATTAGTCAAAAGGTATTATGATGAGTTAGACAATACAACGAATATGCAAAAAATGACATATATAAAATTATAAATCAAGAGTACTTAACAAAGTCGAAATAAGTTTAAATAAAATACAATCGAGAATAAATCCATAGTATAAATACTATAATCTACTGCATATGACGAACTCATACTCGATCTCGTGACCCTCTGTTCTTACGCTGCTTTCTGTACTGTAGTGCCTCCCGAGCCTATGTCATCACGACATTTAGAATAACCCTCGCCTCAAAGCCATTTATAAAGAGTCTTCTGTCAATACTTTCCTACCCAATCTCCATGATACAACGACATCTAGGCAACACGTCAACAACATGATATGTCATAGCCTGCTTCTCCTCTAGTATCTCCTGATGAGCTGACATCGGTGGATCTCTTGGAATATCTTGTACCATATAAGGATGTGACACCCTGAATAACCACCAGATGTAATCGTTTACGTAGCTTTAGTCACTCTTAGATATGGTACTACGCGCCTTCTCTGGTATTAGATGATTAAGATAATCACCAAACATAGAATCCATATCTTTGTGTGTCATAGTGGAAGGAGCAGACACATAAGGGTCTCTGGGAATGTACTGCATGTAGGCAAACTGACGCATGACACACTCAAGCAGATGAGGATACATCAGACATGAATCGCAAGCCAACCATCTCGAGTATAAGACTTTGTCGTCAAAGGGACGCGTCTCACAGTGATCGATGTAAGAATGGAAATGTATATCCTGTGAGTGCAATATCGTCTATTAGATATTTTAAATAATGTGAAAACTAGGAAATATGTAATATTTGTATATTGGACGGTATCTCTTTATGTCTAGGTTGCATTTTCATCTTTGAACACTTAGGTATCATGTTAAAAGCTTTTGGACAAGTCAAACATTTCAAAAATATGCATTTTGGTGAAAAATCAGGTCTGGAGTCGACTTCCCCGGTGTTAGGAGTCGACTCTCTGAAGCTTTTTCAAAAAGGACCTTTCTGTTAAAAATGGGTCGATACATATTTCCTTTGGAGTCGAGACACAACTGAAGGAGTTGACTCCCTCGAGCTGTGGGTCGACTCCTACTGAAGGCAAATTAAAAAAATTCTTTTATGTCCAAAATGAGTCGACTCCCTGGCCATTTGGAGTCGACTTCTACTGAATCTTATTTTCAAAAATCACTTCTGTCAAATTGGAGTCGACTCCCAGACAGTATAGGTCGACTCCCTTACCCTTATTAGTTGACTCTCACTTTAAATGGGTTGACTTCTACTGATCAAATTGTCCAAAATTATCATTTTGCAACCCTATTTTCTTTGTTTCATTCATTCACACACTTACACCTATATATAGTCATTCATGCATTATTTCTAATATACGAAACCACAAATATACAAAGCAATTGCTCATGATCTTCATCCTATCTCTATGCATACACATAAGCAAATTACACATATTCATTTTTTATTTGGGTGCCATCTAGAGATAGCTTGATAACTTCTAATTAGAGTTCATTGTAATTAATTGGGTTGAGAATTCTTTGGGAGTTTCAAATAAGAAAACCATGGTGGAGTTTTCCTTAAAGATCTATTGGTGATTTGAAGGTTTTGGACAAGATTATGCAGTTTGGATTCAACCGAGTGAAAGCTTCGAAGAACTGTGAGTTCGATCGAAGGAGTATCGTGAGACGAAGGATCAAATTGGTAAATCTTGGGGTCAAGATATGTTCGCAATTTGGATTCAGCCGAGTGAAGTCTTTGAAGAATGAGGGTTCTTACAAAGAGTAACGTGAGAGGGAGGATCAAATTGGAAGTATCAGGTTCACTTGATCGAACTCAAGATCAAGGGGAGAGAAGAAGATAAAATCAACAACATACTTAGGGTTTTGCTTGTTAGATTGCCACTCGTTCTCTAATATCAACATTTTGCAAAGGTTAATTTTAGTTATCTCAATTCCGAACGTAATTGGGGGCATACGTACCCATAGCGAGGCTAATTAGGGAACTGCCTAAACAAATCCCCGTGTCACTCTCTTTCTCTTACTCTCTACTTTATGTTTTATTGCAAATTGTGAAAACTTAAATCGTGCAATCGATACATCGAGATAATCTCTTAGGTTAATACCATAAATTGTTTTGTTGATTTGATTACAATCCCTGTGATTGAAATTGGTTTCTAACATCAACAAAATCAAACAAAAATCTGGTTTGTATCAATTACACTCCAAGTGTTCTAAAATATGCCTTAGTTAATTTTTGTCAATTATTTCATTGGAAATTGATTGCTATAGTGTGGTTTATTCAAAGTTGGTTTGTTGGAAATATATTGTTTTTTTCTCATCATATGTAAACTAGTCCCATCTGTTTAACGCATATCTGGTCTTTTCGATAACGGTTCAGATAGACGATTGTTGATCTGGGTTTGTTTCCGCGCGCCATAATTTAAAACATTTTAAAACAGAATTTAAATTTGAAATTTAATTTGCGATCTATTCAACCCCCCTTCTAGATCGTAGTCTATCATCTAACAAGTGGTATCACGAGCTCTGGTTCATTCTGTGCTTTGAAATTACTTTTTAGAGAATGCATTCTGAACCAAAAGAGGCGTATAATAGAGTGCCTATTATCAAGGGCGAAAACTATGATTATTGGAAAGATTTTATGCGTATCCATCTTAATTCTGTTAAAACTATGTTTTGAGATTTATTATGAATTGTTGTGTTTTAGCAATTATAAATATGTATCTCTTCTGTTACTACGGTGTGATAATAAGAGTTTAAAAATCAAGGGAATTCTTTTAGAGTCAT